GAAATTCTACTCTAATACGAAAATTAGTGATTTAGCCGGCATGTATTTGGCATTGAATTCAACGATGTTACCCATTTTCAGTATGAGTAATTTCCGAGTTATAAAATCTGATTTGAGAGAATTCTGGCCTCCACTCTATGTGACATCTGCTCTGTAACCAACTGGTCTCGGTGGCTGTCTATTGGAGATGATGTTTAAAAAGCGGGTTCGAATCTTTTCGGGGATGCTGTAGCCCAATTTAGCCGATGATGCGATGACCAATTTAGGATGCAGGCCTTAATGAAATTCATTGTTATCTGACACCAACTTTTACTCCTTGTTTGTACTATGCGGCCTAGATTTTTCATTTAACCTTTATTGATTATCTCGAAACCTACTTTGTCGGAATATAAAATCTTAAAGTAATTGGGTAGAATGAGTGATTTTCCATTTTATCCAAGTACCTTTTGAACAGGAGCTGTGTTCACCATATTTCGTTTAAAGTGACAAAAGAAAGACTAACAGTCAAATTTCCCCACAATGCGGTGAGAAGGCCTCAGGTTTCCATTGACTTTCACACAACCTTGCCTCTCCGGAGGTCTTCTCATACAGGATGGACTGCCGTGTCGACCCCCGGGGGGACTCTAACTGGAATAGTGCAACATATATTCTCGACACGTTGAGAGAAGAGCTAAAACTACAATCCACTTGTATCTGGCTGAGTATACCTCTTGGGAAAGCAGGCTAAGTGAAATGCTTTTGTGAACATTCAAGTATCAGCCCCTCACCATCTTAAACGAAATGGGATGAACAAAGTTCCTCTTCAAGAATGATGATATCAGCACCTGGCGCATGCTGAGCCATTCACTTTTCCTATCTTTCCTGCCTACCCCATTAAAGGCACTCCGACGCACAACCCTGTCCGATTGATGCGAGGCTGCAAGGCGCAAATGACTCCTCCGCCTGGCCAGCCTCATCATCCTCAGGTTCGTGTCCGCCCGGTCTCTCCATTCGTTTGCCTACCGTCGCCACAACCCTGTCTGGTGACAGCACCAGTCTACCGAATGTGATGGCCGGTTTCGCTTCGATTGCCTCTTTTGCCCAGTCACCAGACGCCAGTTTCACATCAAGCCACAATCCGGCCACCGCTATCACCGGCCTCGAAGGGGTGACTTGCCGAAACTGTCAGTGCCGGTCAGATGTAGAGCCCAGTCCCGAGTCTGTCACCGCGGCGATGACTGCCCCTCCCTCCGTCGCCCACGAGACCGGCTCCAGTCTCCGTCGTCTCACGCGTCTGACGACAGGCGGTGGTGACTGTGACGACGTCCAGACTCGAGCTCGAAACGAACCAAGTCCGACAGATCAACAAGTCACCTCCACTCCCTTCCGCGGTCGATGTGAACAACCGTTTTGTCTCAGTGAAACGGCGGCAATGGCTGCAGTCGCTGCAGCTGCCATGCTCACTCAAGCAAATGTGCCTCTACGAGGCCTCAGGCCGAGGTCTCGCCAACCCCAAGTGTCCGAGGGCAGAGATCGCTTCTGCCCTAGTCGACTATATGACGGTGACGGCGACGGCGAGCTTGTCTCCGAGACCGAGGGAGACTCAAATCCTCTTGATCGGGCGCCCGTCTGGCGTCGTTGGCAGTCGTCACGAGGTCAGGCTTTTGGAGAGTCGCCGAACGGGATTAATCAGTGCCGGAGGAGAAGTCGATTTCGTGGATCGAGGCCGTTGAGAGACAAAACCGATTTGTCCCTTGAGGCCGGACACAGCAGAACCGAGGCTACAATGAGGCCGGACCCGAGGGACGAGGACGAAGCAGATGAAAATCAGCCAGAACTGGTGGAGAACGAGGACAAAGCACTTGCAAAAGGAATAAGTCCTCCAGGCAAGTACATGATGGCGTTCACTATAAGTAGGCTTTTAGAGTAGCATTATATCTTGAAGAAGAACTGTAGGCCTGAAGTGATGAAGAACGCCCTGCCGAAATTTCGTCAATCCTATTAGTGGGCCGCACAATACCTACAAAAAATATATGGGATTTATTCACCCTAATTGGTTTAGGGTGATATGGGAACTAGTGGTTGGATTGTCCCATAATCATATGAGTAGGCCTTACGTTTGCATTAATATTTACATAACCTTGTTTCTCTTAAGATATTCTCATCCAGACTGAACTAGTCTACAGTTTCAACCTCGTCTTAGTTTTATCAGCACACTCCACGGGACTTGGCATTCATGTGTATAATCTCAACAGGTCAACGACTACTCCATATTATCACGGGTGATTTGGGGTCAAAGGGCAGATGCGTTGTTTTCAAGCAAGGGCATGCATTTTCCCATATCAAATTCTGTCGTGGGATTATGGATAGAGCAATGTTGTATTAGCTGTAGGAATCTGCTTCATTA